ACAACAACAACATCTGGCACAACTTAGTAAGAGCGGTGAAGGAAAACCAGGACAAGAAGAAACGGCGAGATATGAAAAGATGACACTCAGGTTGTGATTGATAGGCATGGCAAATGAACAAGGCTTCCATTAGCTGGTGCCTGCAGAAGACGTGGAGGCTTTATCAAGGGAGGCTGAAAGCTTCCTCGGGCTATGGGTGTTTCCAGTCTGTTTTAGTCATACTCCAATGACAGGGAATAGGATCAGGAGGGCTGGCTGAATGGCAAGATGAATGCATGAGTTTCCCAGCTTGGAGAAAAATTATATTCATGAGAATAAATTGACATTGTATCTTCTGTTCTAGTTCACCTTCCATTTCATCCCTTCTTTTATGCCTCTACCCCATGAATCAGACAGGGTCACAGTATGGTAACCACAACAACAACATCTGGCACAACTTAGTAAGAGCGGTGAAGGAAAACCAGGACAAGAAGAAACGGCGAGATATGAAAAGATGACACTCAGGTTGTGATTGATAGGCATGGCAAATGAACAAGGCTTCCATTAGCTGGTGCCTGCAGAAGACGTGGAGGCTTTATCAAGGGAGGCTGAAAGCTTCCTCGGGCTATGGGTGTTTCCAGTCTGTTTTAGTCATACTCCAATGACAGGTTGGAGGAGATTATTCGGCAAAGCCTACACTGTGCTATAAGCAAAAATGAGGGGGGAAAGATAGCTTGGATTACAGAGCAGACAAAATCTGCCAATTAAGGACAGCAAAATCTTTGCTCCTCAGCGTTGCGCCTTACAGTCGGGACAGCAAAATGTAGAAGAAAGAGTTACAGAAAAGCTCAGACAGGAAAACACACCAGGTACGGAAAACAGCAGGTTTGCAATGTACCTTGCTACAACGTGCAGGACACATTTACCTCACACATACAAACTTGTTTATGTTATTCAAGACATAAAAAGAGAAAGCTATGCAGTGTTAATACATTTACATTTCACTTTCTATAAAAATATGCTGCATTTAACAATATGCATAACATGAAAATCCTCACATGTACACTTTTCAGATCAATGATCTGAAAACAAAGCAAAGCTAACAGCAAATTCGACCCTCATAAATGAAAAGTAAAGGACATACTGGCCCCCTTTACACTTGGCGGTTACTTCAGAGATTGAGCTGACCAAAAATTTTTCATCATTCACCGAATTTGTAAAACGCGGATAATTCAAAATGCTCGCAGATTAAAAAAAAGCCATTTGGTCTATTGCGTTTGGCTGCTTTTGAAACATTCCCACATTAAAGGATGCTAATAGGGATTAGAAGTGAAGAAATAAAGTTTTAAAGCCCCACGCGAAAACAGACTGGGAGAGAGACGAGAGTGAGGATTTTAGGAGAGAAAAATTTGAGAATTTAAATGTAGTGCAGTGGAACAATTCATGGGATATTGTTCATTAAATTGGGTGACCAGATCCTAAAACCACAGTGTAAAACAGAATGAAAAAAAATTAATTTTTTGTGATTTGATCACCGAAAATACACTTTAATGCCAGGTGCAAAAAGGGCCAAAATCCAATCAAATGTGATGACAGTAAGTAATGGAGAAAGAGCCACATAAATGTCAAGTCACTCTAATTCGTACCCCGTGTGCAACGTATCACCCATTTTTCTCAATACAACATTAAAAAGACTTAAAAAAAAAACATCCATTTGTTAAATTCATCACCTTTGCCCAATGCCTGCAGATTTTCATCTTCAAAAAGAGTCTGTTCAGTTAACTGGTGTTCACAGACAATGGTCAAGAATGTTTTAGAAAACATCCATTTGTTAAATTCATCACCTTTGCCCAATGCCTGCAGATTTTCATCTTCAAAAAGAATCTGTTCAGTTAACTGGTGTTCACAGACAATGGTCAAGAATGTTTTAGAAATTAAACAAAAGAGACACTAACTGCCAGACATTTGTTACCTCACAAAACCGCAAGTTTGTCACGTTTGGGTGCTCATTGAAGAAAAAATATCAAATTAAATACAGTATAACTACAATATTGTGACGGCATTGTGTGATGCTAAGAAATTTGTGGTGGTTTATCAATTTACGCAATGATTTGCCCAAGCTGTATGCACTAAAAATCAGCATTCTGTGAGATTATTTTCATTATAGTCAATTACTAGTAGTGCTAAACTCATCCTTGAGAGTTAATATCTTTCACACTAATGAATTCCCATTGAGACGTTGGGGAAAACAAAGACTGACTGAGTGTGTTGCTTTGACATGCATTTTTTATATCTACAGAAGAGAATCTGTCTCTGACTATTGCAAACAAGGCCATTAGCTATATTGGGGTCATTCAGCAGTTGGTAAGGTTTAAATAATGCACTTTTAAACATGTGGTTCGATCTCTGAGTGTATCTGACTGTAACGTCATTAGCAGAGTGCATACCAATGCCAACGTTTCATGAAAGTGCACATTTTTTCTTAATGAAAATTTTACCAGTTAACATTCTAAAATTTGCTGTTAAGATTTCATTCAAATATGCACTTTATGTGAAGCATAAAACAATGAGGAATGATATATTCAGGCCAATGAGGGCCTAATGGAGTTTAGACTCGTAGGCCAGCTCTCTTTTAGTGTTAATACTGGGCCAGTGTAGATAATGACACTGCAAATGCCTGTTTTGAGTATATCTACAGAAGAGAATCTGTCTCTTCTGTATCTGTTGGTAAGGTTTAAATAATGCACTTTTAAACATGTGGTTCGATCTCTGAGTGTATCTGACTGTAACGTCATTAGCAGAGTGCATACCAATGCCAACGTTTCATGAAAGTGCACATTTTTTCTTAATGAAAATTTTACCAGTTAACATTCTAAAATTTGCTGTTAAGATTTCATTCAAATATGCACTTTATGTGAAGCATAAAACAATGAGGAATGATATATTCAGGCCAATGAGGGCCTAATGGAGTTTAGACTCGTAGGCCAGCTCTCTTTTAGTGTTAATACTGGGCCAGTGTAGATAATGACACTGCAAATGCCTGTTTTGAGAGTTAATTTTGGCCATAGTTTACCAAAAATGGAAGTATCTGTCAATATTTACTCATCCTCATATCGTTACAATCATGTTTCATCAGGAGAACACAAAAGAAGATATTTTAAAGCATGTTTTAGATGTTTTTGTACATACAGGTGGGGTCCAAAACAACAATGGATCCAACACTGGAGTTGGACACGTTCTCCTTTTTCAAAATATCTTCTTGTGTTCCATAGAATAAAGAAATACAAACAGGTTTGTAACAACATGTAGGTGAATAAATGATGGCCAAATTTTTGGTTTCGGGTAACCCCTCCCCCTTTTGTCCAAAACTACCTACAAAAAACCTTCTAGCGGAATGGAATAATGGCCTTTACCCCCTTTACTTTCACCTTGTGGCAGGACAATCATGTTTCATCAAGAGAACACAAAAGAAGATATTTGATGCATGTTTTAGATGTTTTTGTACATACAGGTGGGGTCCAAAACAACAATGGATCCAACACTGGAGTTGGACACGTTCTCCTTTTTCAAAATATCTTCTTGTGTTCCATAGAATAAAGAAATACAAACAGGTTTGTAACAACATGTAGGTGAATAAATGATGGCCAAATTTTTGGTTTCGGGTAACCCCTCCCCCTTTTGTCCAAAACTACCTACAGAAAACCTTCTAGCGGAATGGAATAATGGCCTTTACCCCCTTTACTTTCACCTTGTGGCAGAAGATCTTTAATGGAAGCTCATGCCATTAAAGAGCATTTTACTATGCTAAATACCCTTTGTAGACGCTAAAAGCATTCAATCACCTTGATGTTGGCAGACGTACAGTACAATAAATGGTCCAGTTGGTTCCATGGGGGAAAGTAAAGTTAATTCTGCGACTACAGTGTTCAGCTGGGGATACTGTATGTCTGGAATGAGGAGACAACAAAACAAATGTGTGGGAATAATCTAAGAAACACTTTCAATCAATACAAGGTATAAAATATGAGGGCAGAAATCATACGCTGGGCTAAAAATAGAGCAATTTGATAGGTTTCTTCATGCTGAGGAGAAAATCAAATACTGCACTTTGATTAGTACTCCACACCTTGTCTCTGAGGTTGAGATCCTCCATTAAATATTAATGTGTCCTTGAATCCACCTTTGCCTCATCAATACTTATTGACCAATATTATAACAGCCATTTAGTCCCAGGCAACGATGACCAGCTCTTGCATTTGCAATCTCTACAGATGTGAAGGTGTGTGTGTTGTTTAGCAATTGCTTGCCATTTCTCATTAGGAGCACAGTAGGGTAGGTTTCCTTTTCATTAGCGATGAGGAAAATAAGAGGTACGAAGTAACTCTGGTGGGAGGAGAAGATGCAGCTTTCTGGTCTATTCTGGGTTTCTCGCATCACAGACTGTCAGTCTTCAGTAGAACGTGAAAGATACTGGAATGTTTCATCTCAGCTGGGCCTTTGATATGCTTCATTTAAAAGCAGGGGACTCAACTTTTCCATCTGCCACTTTTAAGACTATCACTATTTTTTTGTTGTCGTTTTATTTTTATTTGTTTATCTTGTTAGCCCACTTACTTTTATCATTGACTCAGCGACCAATGAATCAGAAAAACACTAAGCATTTCAAACAGACTGCTCAAAGGAACTGCATCTCATTTTAAGTGCTCTTTGAAAATGCTTCACAGAAAACTTCAGGCTCCAAAACAGTATGCCATTTCACACATAAAGTCTTTACTGGTAAATTACAGGTAAACTACTGTTTAGAGATCATGTGTGAACAGGAGCTTTTCAAAAATACCGGTAAATTTTTCCCGGAAATTTACCAGTAAGGGAAGTTGTGACATTATCAGTAAATTACTGGTATGATGCTGTGTGTGAACGCAGAATGAAGATTACCGGTATGAGCACTGTAACACTGTATAAGAAAAAGCAACTACCAGCACAACAGAGTTAGCCAGGGGAGAGTAATGATTGTTACTTACGAATCAGAGGAACACTGGCGTTGGCTGTTCCCAACCTGTTGACGGCCACACAGGTGTAGTTGCCATAGCGATCCTGTGTCATGTTCTTCACTGTGAGAACTGATCTGGAGCTGAGGTTCTTGATGTCTATTCCTTGGCCCATGTTAATCCTGAAAATAAGACCATGAGTTGACATGACACGTCAAGCAGTGACACCTGCTGCAGTGTGGCATGCTATAAATCCATCCATCAAAAACTATTTTAGTCGAACTTAGTCATTTATACATGCAGAGAGGCTACATGGAATACAGTACTTTAAAAAAATCATTTGGTCACACCGTTGTAGTAAACTGCAAAAAAGATGATTAAAAGGTGTAAAGCATACACTACTTTTCTGGGGGTAAGTATGGTTTTTAATCCTTACTTATTTTTCAAAAGTGACAGTAAAGATATTTACATTGCTACAAAAGATTTATAAAAGATTTGAAAAAAAAAAAAAATCCACTAATTTTCAGTATTGATAAAAATAATAATAAATGTTTCTTGAGCACCAAATAAGTACATTAGTATGATTTTTGAAGGATCACGAGACACTGAATACCTGAGCAATGAAAAGTCAGCTTTGCCATTACAGAAGAAATAAATTACATTTTAAAATACATTAAAATAGAAAACTGGTAATAATATTTCACAATTTTACTGTTACTATTATATTTTTGAAAAATGCAACCTTGGTGAAAAAAAATCCATCATTTGTTTAATTTGTTTAGTTGTATATTTTCTACTTTGCTTTACTGTATTTTTGTTTTATATTACTTTTTCTTTTTTCGTGTGCATGTTTGCTGTGGTCAAATCTATTTTACTGAATTATTATTATTCTGGATAACAGCTATTTTTTTAAAGGTACATGCCTACTTTATGATATAATTGATGATTAGAGTTTCAATGTTATCTGCCTACAGGGTTTTAATTAGGTAGCAAGAACTTATAAGTTGATTGTTCCGAAATGACTATTCTCTCTCAGTCTAGAACCCCAAAGATAAAGACAATAAAGACAATAAAAGTGTTAAACATGAATAATTCTTAAAAGGTAAAGGAATTAGCACCAAGTAAATGTGAAAACTATTTAATAATATTAATTAATATATTTAAACAGTAATATTGTTTCTCTGAGGTGTCACACTGTTATGGAGGATGATAACGCACTGATTTCTTTCTTCATTAAGAATAATAATGTTTTGGACACTTATTAATGTTTCTTACACCAAAAGATGGCAGGTAGATACACTCTTAAAAATAAAGGTGCTTCAAAAGGTTCTTCACAGCGATGCCATAGAAGAACCATTTTTGGTTCCATAAAGAACCATTCAGTCAAAAGTTCTTTAAAGAACCATCTCTTTCTTACCTTTTTATAATCTGAAGAACCTTCTTTCGCCACAAAGAACCTTTTGTGAAACAGAAAGGTTCTTCAGATGTTAAAGGTTCTTTATGGAACCATTTAAACAAAAAGGTTCTTCTATGGCATCGTGAAGCACCTTTATTTTTAAGAGTGTATATGGTAGTCTGTGAGTTATGAAGGAAAATGTAAAACATTTTACAATTGTCCCTGGTCCTGAGGGAATAGCCAAAGAGAAAATCAGAAGCAGAAAAATTTACACATGGCTTGTAGCTTTGTTAAGGTCCAAAGTTCAGCTGCAGCTGCTCTTGAGAGTCCTGACTTTGGGTCATCCATGTTACTCTCACAGGTAAAGCGATGTGCTGACCTTTTGTCCCCTAATTCTCAAGTAGCTTGTCTCCTGCTGACACTTACTTAAATAAGAACAAAAACTTTTCTTAAAACAAAAGACCACTGCTACAACTGTATCTGAGGGTTATAGGCCATTATACACAAAAATATTTTTTAGAATCACCTTGTTTATACAGTATAACAATCTGTTCAGACTCAGTTATTAGAAAGCAATTATATAAACTGGGAAACAGAACAATATTCTTCATTGCTTTCCATTGCACAGGTATCTAAATTTGGAGACCCAACTAGCTTTACATTTACAAAAATGTACATAGGCCTGGGCAATAAAACGGTATCGATATTTATCGACGGTACACCCTCTTCGATAACGATATAAAAAATGTTCGATATAGCGCACGATATAGGCACCTGCTCTGAGTGACGCAGACAGCACACACAAACACAAACACAATCACATGCTGAATTGAGTGCTGTGCCTGCCTGTGATGAGGAGATTGTGAATAAAAAAAATTAATATTAGTAGAATTTAAAATAAACATTTGCATTTGAATGCAAAAATAGTACAATCAAATGTTAGGAGTGCGTCAGGGAGCATCATCAGTGGAGCACGAGATGCGGTGATGATGATGTACGTGACGTTGTTGCATTTGAATGTTTTGTTAGTCTAGCCCACGAGATGCGCCGCTGCTGCGTTATTCATTCAAAATATTAGAGAAATATAGAAGCTCAATGCGGAGAAGATCTTGAATGGGTTAAAACCGAAACCAGGCCATTCACACAGAATGCATATTCAGCGCATTTTTTACATGGGCAAATATGACTGCTGCACTCACGTCTCACACAAGAGATGTAACCACAATTTGTGGAGGTTTATTCCTCTTCACTGCGTCTCGTATGTTTTTAAATGCAATCTGCGTGAATGGTGCTTCGGCTCTTTGGATTAAGCAATGCATAAATACATGATGCTGTTTTGTTCATAATTGTTTACGCAATTTACAAAATTATATTTGATTTATATGAGTGAATGTAGACGTAATGCACATTTTTTATAGACGTATTTCCTTGTGTTTACAATTTAAATGTGCTGCATTATTTTGCTCATTGCGCCCTCCTGTAGCTTCGGGAGACAAGACAAAAGTTTCCTTAAAACCTATTTAATCTGCATATAAAACATTAGAAATTCGATATTTGTTTAATTTTTATTGTGTGTTTGACTGTTAAAACAAAAATATTTGTTGTTTGTCTCAATAAAATTGGGTTAATTTAAAAATACAGTGGTTACATTTAAAAAAAATTTATATTGCTGTTTTAAAAAAGGTTGTCAATAATTATCGATACTGAACGATATGAAACATTATATCGTTGATACATTTTTTAGCTGTATCGCCCAGCCCTAAATGTACATAAATGTAGCTTTATGAAAATACATGATTATCATTGTTCATGATTATTTTATCTTATAAAAACAAAACTAGTTCACGATTTTGCATAATTCCTGTCTGTTTCTTTAATATTACTCTAACAGTTTCTTTTTTCCCTATTGTTTCCTGCTGTTAGTTCAGCATTGAGTCATTCAGACAAATACAGTAAAATAGACAGTTTAGCAACAATGTTCAAAGTAAAGCCTTAGATTAAGCAGAGTACAGACCCAATGTCAATAAGCCTCCTTTGCAATTTGAATAAATTGAGTGAAGCCTATAATTACAATTAGCACAGTGTGAACTGCTGATTCAGATCGTACTCAGCAAGAGTGGGTAAATGACGGGTAATGGGGTAATTTGGTATTTAAATTTAAGAACCACTACTTGAGTCAACGGTGATTGGTGTGAAGACTTGGAATGCTCTGTACTAGTGATGAGGTTATACAAACACACAATTAAAATGCAGGGTTAAGATAGTAAGACAGATCTTCCTAACATACTGTACATAAGTTTGTACATGTTTCTACTTTAATGTAACTGTATAAAAATGGTGTGTTTAGAAATAGACTTCAGTATACCTCTGATTTAGTTTCTCATTGTATTATCACATTCCATAACATTTCATTAATTTTAAAACATAATCAAATGTCTTTAACAGTTTGTTTTAATCTACAGTGATTTATTCATCAAGACTCTATACAAAATTATGTCTGTAATGCCAGCCTTAAGTGTGCTAAAAAAAGTATAAATACTTGCATTTTTAATTAAATTCTGAAAATCTCCCACTGACATAGTGATAGAATGTTAATATTGGAAATGTAGAAACCTAAAAATAATATATACACATCTAGAAAAAATGCTGGTGTACAGCCACAAATGAATGTTCACAGAAAATGACAAAAAAAAACAAAAAACACTGACAGCCCCAGAAAGAGGTTGAAACGATGTCAATAAATTGGAACAACCAGCGGTGAGCCAGTGTTTTTCATTGTGTTGACAGTGATGAATATTTGCATATTGCCATTCTTTCTTGCATTCATTTGCATATTGAATTGTGATTGGTCTTATCTCTCTTACATCTACTTAACCATCTGTGGCCAACTTTACACTGCAAAAAGTGAAAGCCACATTATGGGCTGATACTTGTGCACAGTTGACAGAAAACTAGAAGCATACTGAGCGCCATGACAATGGCAGAGTTAAAGATGGATCTGATTTGACATTTAATTTCCACAAAACCGAAGCAGCTCTAAAACTATTCCTTCACTGCCTTGCCAACACTAGTATTTTCTTCTAGAAATTAGGGCTGAACGATTAATCGCGATTGCGATAATATCGCGATATGAAAAACCGCGATTTTTAAAAATCTTTTAACCCCCCCAGAAAACATAATATGTTTTAACCAACTCTTAAAATAATACATAATTCTGACTGATCAATTCAAATATATTTTTGTGTTGCTCAAATTACTCAAATGGTACAGTTCACCTCAGAGCTTTTTTTAGAAAGTTAGATTATTTTTGCCAGAAGTGTATGACTTTAATTAAAAGTTGCATGATGGTTGCAAAAAATGATGGTTAAGTTGCAAAAGTGATTTTCATGAGCTTATGCTGTGCCAAGAGTCACTATCTTTCGAAATTAAGCCTCTTTAATAAGACACTTTGTAATATTTGATAAGCTGCAGATCCATAGCTATTAAACTAAAACTACTAAAGACTGTAATACAGCTTTAGACCAACGTTCAACGATTAAACCTTAGGCAAAATTCTCAAAAAGTGCTGTACAGTTTGATTGTACTGTAATTATTCTGTGGATCCAACAAAAGTAGTGACTGCAAATGATACTGATCAAAATATTTCATCTTTTTACGCAGACACACTTGCCACAAAAAGCAGCCTTGACCGACATTAACCTTCTCTGTGGTGAGCATTCTGAATCATAAATAAACTCACTTAACATGCATAATGTATGATAAATTATCACTGTACAGCTAAGCTAATGAAATGAAGGCTTTTATCATCTATCACTCTTGGTTTTACCTTTTCTCTCCCTTGTACCACTCAAAGACTGGAGAGGGGACTGCTGCTGCCTCACATCTCAGCAGGGCAATCTGACCGGGTCGGACCCCATGACTTCTCATCTCATGGATTGCTGGAGGAACTACAGAAAGAAAATATAAACCAACGTGATTTAGGGGAGGAGTGAACACACATAATAAGCAAACTCATACACTCTCAGAAAAAAAAGGTACAAAAGCTGTACCTGGGGCAGTACCTTTTCAAAAGGTACACTTTTGTACCTTTTAGGTACTAATATGTACACTTTAGGTACTTATATGTATCTTTAAGGTACCAATATGGACTCTGTAGGTACAAAGGTGTGCCTTTTGAAATGGTACCGCCCCAGTGACAGCTTTTGTACCTTTTTTTCTGAGAGTGTATATAAACTAACCCACCGAGCTGGAAAAAGTTTTCATTTACAGTGGTGTGAAAGAGGCAGAAATAAATTAGCAGCAAGATTCAGAGTGGTCAACACGTGTAAATCTTATGAATGCAATGCTGAGAAATAACATTCATCCCAAGGGTTGGAGAAATGAAATGAACTGCTCAGTGATAAATTGTTTAATGGCTGTTCAAAGGCTGGGGAGCTGAGGAAGGTTCTCTGAATATGTGCATGTAAAATGAGGGCCCTTTCATGTTCACAAATGCAGTGTAAATCTCTCTAGTGTGTCAGTGAGAGAGCTTTAACTACAGGGCGAATTTTTATTTTCCAGCTAGTCAAGTAGCAACAATCGTCTCTCAATAGAAAAAAGAAATTCATCATACATAAATCGTCATTGTATATTATTTCTTATAGCAGGAGCAAACAGAGTAAGCTACTAGAATGGCGTGTGTTCAAATACAAAATGACATATAGAAAAAGGCTATGAAAGAAATAACACCATACTTAATATACACACAAATAAAGCAGGCCTGTACAGAATACTAAATTGAACACAATATAAAAAAATCTGAAAATAACTCCCTTCAAGCAGGTGATCCACTTATGTCTTTCTAGCTAGCGTTAAATTACTTGCTATGTCTGAATTTGAGTGGGGGACATTTATATTCCAGGCAAAATCACCTGCAAGTTATTGAGGTCTGTGTTCAGACTATTTTTTCCTGAATGAATTTTTGACATTCTCTTCTATAACCCCACAGTTGAAGGTATGAAGTTCTTCAGGCCTTCACTGTAATACGTTTCATGTTATCTGAAGGCTGAAAAGGAATTTCCACTATTGTGGTGAGAACAGTAACAGTAAGGGATTTTTAAGAATGATGTTCTCAGACTTTGGGCTCCAGAGTTACGTCACGTAGATATGTTAAATCTTTTAAAGGGGTCATATGATGCTTTTTTAAAGATCATTATTTTGTGTATTTGGTGTAACAGAATATGTTGACATGCTTTAATGTTCAAAAAACAAATTATTTTTCAAATACTGTACATTATTGTAGGTCCTCTATGCCCCGCCTCTCTCAAGCCTCCTTCCGACAAGCGCAGTCTGCTCTGATTGGCCAGCTGACCCAGTGCATTGTGATTGGCCGAACACCGCAAGCACTTGTCAGAAATGTAACGCCCCTTACCTTAATCGCAAGCTTCATCTTTCAAAATGTAAAGACAGAGCCCGAATGGGGAACAGTCTCCTGACAGACACAGTGATGAATATGTGTTTGCAGCACACAAGCCACGGTTAAGACAGCTGACTCCGTCAGAATTACCTCCTCTCCTAGGTTCACGAAACGGTCGTCCATAAAATGCATTGCTGTTCTGTTGTAAGTAATCTTAAAGATTCCTAAATGCATCTACTTTCGGAAGGCAAAATAAAGTGCTTAACTTTGATAAAGAATATCTCTTTGGGTTTGAGACTTTAGTCTCTGCAACCTCAGGGATCTTATCTATGCACAATCAGCTTGTAACACTCCAAAGAGAAAGGAAAACTTGAAATCGCATCATATGACCCCTTTAACAAATGTGAAGGCATGAGCTTCACCACACTCTACACGGAAGTGAGAGTTTCTCTCATTTCACGTATCAGGAAAATAATTTGCAGCATTTGAAAATCAAAGCATCTAACAGTAAGTGTGAGGAAAGAAATCTCACAATTTTTCTAGTTAAATGACTCAATGTGAGGGAGAAACATTATTCACTGAGATTAGAAAAACATTTTTTTTGCTATGGATTACCCCGTTTGCATGTCAGATACCAATCACTTGAATTAAATAATTATCTTCACTAAAGAAATTTCCATGACTCTTTTTACTCCTAGAAATCAAAATGTTACAATGTTTTCCAAGACTGTGAGAACCGTGTATAAAGAACATGGATATCCATCACTGTAATCACTGTGTTGAGAAATTTTGTTCTGTGATATTGCGCTGCTCATCATTTCTTCTCCACACAATCTCCTGGGAAGGTATGAAAATAGCATTGCGACACATCAACACAGCTTGAATGCAGAGTTTTGGCATATGTTGGAAGAGAAGTCTGTCTGATCCAAAAAAGTGGCAACGGATGAATCTTGTGCTTTGGCTGGATCATGCATTTACAGTACAGGCATCAGCCCATGAAAATGCCTAGGGAGCATTACATAACCTGAGCATCACAGAAGCGGGCTAGCATAAGATTTAAGGATAACATAAAATAATAGATTAAAGGAACACATTGCTGATGACAAAGGCGAGGACAAATGACTGCTGAGCCTATAATATATGGGTGCAGAAAGGACAAGGCTGAGAGTGCAGAGAATTTAAAATCAAAGTGAACTGCTGTTCGCAATCCATTTTATTTCAGTAATCTGTCAAATGTCAGTGAGTATGAGTGAAACATGAGAAAAGAGGAAGGGCGGGGTTAGATTGTGAAAGTCTAACCCCCCCCCCCAACATTAACCTTACTTACCTCAAACTTCTGAATATCACGACTACCAAAAAAAAATGCTTTCGACATTGTTAATAATAAGAAATGTTTATTGAGCACCAAATCAGCATCATGTGACACCGAAGACTGTAACAATTGCTGAAAAATCATCTTTGCCACCACAGGAATAAATCATAAAAAAAAATATATATATATACTGTATATGTATAAAACATAATGAGAACTGTATTGAATTACAAGACACAAAATATAATAAAGTGAATTTAATGCAAGTATAATAAATAAAATAAAGTAAATAAGATATATTTTGATTCCATGTTGACTAAAGGACACAGGGCACACAGGATCCACACACCATAACATGTTTATGCGTCAAGATGATAATGGGATTCAATTATTCACAGATCCCCATGCTGATGATTCAAATAAGTCAATACATTCTTCATTTACACTCATGCTCTATAACTTGACATTAGGTGTCAAAAGCAATTTAAAATACATGCAAACACATATTTGGATACGTCAGTTTCTGCAGAGAGAAAGATTTTGGAAATTCAAATCAGGCGTCAGGTGATATGAAAGCGTTCGGATTTGTGATGCCAAGTTCAGCCTTTTGAAGGGGTCATATGATGCGATTTCAAGTTTTCCTTTCTCTTTGGAGTGTTACAAGCTGTTCGTGAATAGATAAGATCCCTAAAGTTGCAAAGACTAAAGTCTCAAACCCAAAGAGATATTCTTTTTAAAAGTTAAGACTTGTCCACGCCCTCCTAAAACTTTTAGTTTAAACACGCCCCCACATGTCTACGTCACTGTGTGGGAAGATTTGCATAACACCGCCCAAATGTTCACGCGAAGAAAGAAGGCGTAACTTTGATTCTCGCTGTAGTATTTTTGCTGCCGCCATGTCATGGAGACGCTGTGTGTTTTGTTGTGAAAGTGAAACTACTTTGTTTGGCCTTCCAAAAGAAGACACAACTAGAAATCAGTGGTTAAGTTGTATTTACAACACTGTTCCAGAACAGTTCAACCCAAATATTCCGATGTGTGCAGCACATTTTATGGAGGACTGTTTCCTGATCCTGGGAGAGTAGACTACAATGCCGGCTGTTCTGACTCACAGACTGTAAGTACGTTTTTTAAAGGAACACATTGCTGATGACAAAGGCGAGGACAAATGACTGCTGAGCCTATAATATATGGGTGCAGAAAGGACAAGGCTGAGAGTGCAGATCATTTAAAATCAACCTATTTTACTGCAGTAATCTGATGTATGAGTGAAACATGAGAAAATATGAACAAATGGGGTTAGACTGTGAAAATGGGCACATGATATAAATAATTACAAATTCTCATTTTTATTGTTTAAAAACAGTTATGCTGCTTCATATTTTTTGTGGAAACCCAGGAATTCCATGATTTTTGTAAATAATAAGTAACATTGTGAATGTCTTTATTTTCACTTCTGATAAATGTAATGCATCCTTGCTGAATAAACATTATTATTTTTATTACCCCCCCCCCCATATTAATATATTCATGAAACTATATTAACTATATTACTAAAACAAAATTATTCAAAACTTTTGATCAGTAATGTACAGTACTGTATGCATGTATGTATAAAACATAATGAGAACTGTATTGAATTACAAGACACAAAATATAATAAAGTGAATTTAATGCAAGTATAATAAATAAAATAAAGTAAATAAGATATATTTTGATTCCATGTTGACTAAAGGACACAGGGCACACAGGATCCACACACCATAACATGTTTATGCGTCAAGATGATAATGGGATTCAATTATTCACAGATCCCCATGCTGATGATTCAAATAAGTCAATACATTCTTCATTTACACTCATGCTCTATAACTTGACATTAGGTGTCAAAAGCAATTTAAAATACATGCAAACACATATTTGGATACGTCAGTTTCTGCAGAGAGAAAGATTTTGGAAATTCAAATCAGGCGTCAGGTGATATGAAAGCGTTCGGATTTGTGATGCCAAGTTCAGCCTTTTGAAGGGGTCATATGATGCGATTTCAAGTTTTCCTTTCTCTTTGGAGTGTTACAAGCTGTTCGTGAATAGATAAGATCCCTAAAGTTGCAAAGACTAAAGTCTCAAACCCAAAGAGATATTCTTTTTAAAAGTTAAGACTTGTCCACGCCCTCCTAAAACTTTTAGTTTAAACACGCCCCCACATGTCTACGTCACTGTGTGGGAAGATTTGCATAACA